TTGTCTTCGTCTCTCTATCCTCTCTCCCTCTCTGCATTTCCATCTTTCCTTCTTCTCCCTCTCCATTTCTCTTTCCATCCCGCCCTCACTCTCTCCTCTCACCCTCTTTTCCATTTTATCTTTCCTCTCCTCCCTCTCACCCCCTACTTTCACTTTCCCTCCACGCCCACTCCTCTCACCCTCTTCTTTATCTCTTCTCTCCTCATCAGTCTTTCCTCCTCTCCTCCATCTCAACCTCTAACTCTTTCACTCTCTACCCTCTCCTCCTCTTCTTTTCCTGTCTGTATTTCCATCTTTCCTGTTCCTTCTCCCTCTCTCTTTCCATCCCTCTCTCTCCTCTCACCCTCTTCTTTCCCCATCTGTCTTTCCTCTCCTCCTCCATCTCAACCTCTACTCTTTAACTCTCCCTTCTTCTCTCCCTTTCTGTCTCCATCTCTCTCCTTTCCCTGTCTGCATTTCCATCTTTCCTTCTCCCTTTCCTCCTCTCTCTTCCCCTCTTTTCCTCTCTCTCCATCCCTCTCTCCTCCTCTGGTCTGTGCGCCTGTAGCGGCAGCAGTGGGAGTGCTACAGTTTAATATGAAACAGAGCGTGGGAGTCCAGACTGAGGACCGTAGACCTCAGAGCACCTCATCAAACTGTTACACAACACGAACGCATGGTCCTTGAACGCATCACGGGACTGTACAGGGAACGCATTAACCCGCCGCGCCACTCGACACTTTCACGCTTTTACATAAGGCAAAAAAGGTCGTCAAAATTACAGAAAAACAGACACTAATCGAAACTAAAACTGGTATTGACACGAGACACTCATTTCAGCAAGTTTCAATATTAAAAGTCAAACTCACGAAACAGAAATGAACCTTTCCTGAATAGTTTCAGAATAATCGTATCGTTTAATTTGATGATACAGTATCGATATCGTGGGCTGCTGTATTGATATGTGATTTAGACTTTTTTTCCCCACTGAACCGCATCGAATTGATATGAAATATATCGTATCGAATTGTATTGAATTGAAAGTGCAAAGGGTATCATGGCCTTATGTATTGAGGTATAGGGGTGTGCAAAAATACTGAAATATCGATATATCATTGTTTAAAGTGACGATACAGTATTGATATTATGGGCTGCTGTATCAATATATCTATTTTTAGGTATATTTTACTAAATTATTTTGTGTAAGCTACAATTGTGTTGACATTTTCAGTGTTTTGATTGGTAAAATCTGTGTTTTTCATATTAACTTTGAACAAACTTAGTGGGCTTAGTGGATTTTTAGTATCACAACTGTGATTTAGACTTTTTTTTTTTCAATTAAGTGAATCAAATTGATTTGAAATATATCTTGTCGAATGTAATTGATTTGATATATTGTACTGAATTGAAAGTGCACTGTATTGCAAAGCGTACTGTATCGTGTCCTATGTATCGGGGTAAAGGGGTGTACAAAAATACTGAAATATCAATATATCGTATTGTTTAATGTGATGATACAGTATCGATATCGTGGGCTGCTGTATCGATATATCTATTTTACTAACTTTTGTTTAAGAGCTACAATTGTGTTCACATTTTCACTGTTTTGACGCATAAATTGAGTGTTTTTCATATTAACTTTGAAAAAAACTTAGTGGGCTTTGTAGATTTTTAGTATCACAGGCATCATTTAGACTTTTTTTCAATTGACCAAATCAAATTGATTTGAAATGTTTCATATTGAATCTTATTGAATTGAAAAAGCACTGCATCACAAAGTGCATCGTATCACAGCCTGTATATTGAGGTATAGGGCTGTGCAAAAATATTCAAATATCGATATATCACCAAGAGTATTTTTTGGTATATTGTACTAAATCATTTTGTTAAAGTGCTACAGTTTTGTTGCTTGTTTAGAGGAAGGAAACTTGTTTATGCAACACATGACATATTTAGCTGATTAAAATGTGTGTGTTTCATTTTAACTTTGCACAAGATGTGGATTAACAAAGACTTTTAGTATCACAATCATGATTTAGCCTTTATTTTTTACTAAACCGTATTGAGTCAATTCGAAATATCGTATCGAACCAAAACTGCATTGCATCTGTGCCTATGAATCAAGGTATGTATCGTATCAGCAACTTCTTATCACTATGAAATCTACCTGGACCACTGACACGGATATAAACCAACATGCTAATACAAAAGAAAGCACAACAATTTAATAAAAAAATAAAAAAAATAAAAAAATAACATTCTATTGTCTAAGTAAAGTGTGTTTTTGTTATCATCGTTGCATAGAAATAAGAGTTTGAAGCTTCAGAATCGTGACAGAAGTACAAGGCCGCCGGATGAATCATCAGGTGGAGCCAACTCTTAACTCGAAATACCAAAAGAAAAGTCATCACCGGAGATCAGAGTCAAAACTATTTCAAATGTCAAATGTCTGTTTGGGCTGCGTGAGTTTAGAAACGACTGGAATTATGCTGCGACGTCGAGGTAAACAAACAGGTCTGTTAGAAGAACAAAAGTATTTAGAGTAAAAAAAACAAAAAAAAAAAAATGAAGCTCTCAAACACGCGTGGATGAAACAAACAAAACACTACAGGTTTGTTTTTAAAGGAGGTAACGTTAGAACATGACTGAAATCTCAACTTATGTAAAGGTGCATTGTGTGATTTTTCTGGTGGAGGGTCCATCTCCTGCTTGTTTTTTCTATGGATGTGTCATTTCTCTGCCTGAAATGTTCCACAGTACGACTTTAAACAGTTCGACCTCACATTTATCCAGTTACAGGTGGTTTTATTGCTCAAAAACACCAAAAAAACCCAGACATTCTGACTAAGGCTGTGCAATTAATTGAATTTTGAACGCAATTTTGATAATTCATAGTTGAGTTGAAACGATTTAAAGCTTAAAAAAGTTTATTTTGGGATGTTTTTTATATAAATAAGGGGGATGAAACAATATCCATATCTCTCGGTACGATCTTTATTGCGATTATTTTGAAGAGGCTGATATAATTGTAGATGGGACACTTTTTCCTTGACAAGATTTTGGTGTGAATTATTTCCATCATAATCCCAAGAATTCAAGTCAAAAACATATTTCTTCATGTTGTCTGCGCTGAAATGAATCATGGGATATGTAGTTCCCGATGTTTATAAGTTGTTGCTGCTATAAATCCATGTATTTAAGCAAAGAAACTTGTGATTCGATATATTGTGACATTTAGGTTATTGTTACACGCCTATAAATAAGTATATCTATTTTATTTTTAAATATAGAGATTGTAGAACAGCTGGATATATAGTTTATTTTTAATACATTTATATTTTACTGTGCGTTATTTCATGTTCAAAGTCTATTTTATTCATTTTTTTTTTGTTTTATACGTCGCAAAACTGCTGTAAGATTCATGTTTGTTGCCGATATTTATTTTAAATTTGACAGTTTTGCACAAATTATCAGTAACTTTTTTTTTTTGAGAGAGAGAAATGCTGAATAAATGCATCATGTAACTAAAAAAATAATCGTTTGAATAATCGTGTTTTCAATATTCAATTCTGACTGTGAGCGGGGTCGCCTCTCCACAGATCTGACCTGTAACTTCACTTGGGCTCTGTTTGGGCTCCAAGAAGATAGAAAGGTTTAATGCCATACTGTGAAACTTTCCAGGCAAAGCAATAACACCTCCATGAAGAAAAGAATCTGACGGACCCTCCACCAGAAAGGATACACAATGCACCTTTAAAGTCAATTTTACATAATACAGGACTTTAAAAGGACACATTATGTAAATTTGACTTTTTCACCGTGTTATATTTCTGTCCCCGCATCAAAAACAGACCAGAATAACAGAATAATGATGAATGTTAATCGATCCATTAATCCACACGAGTCTACCCCTGAACACTCAAAAAAAGCTTTGTTTGCATATTCCCCGTTTAGTTACGTCATAGATAAAACTCCAGACTTCCTGCGCTGTGTTTAAACCCAAACACTAAAAATGCAACGATATCCAAGCTCCTCGATGCAATATTTTCACAATATGCATGTCACGGTACGATATTTATTGTGATATTTTGTAGAAGCTAAAAGAATTGTGAATATACTGCTTTATCATTTAAAAATGTCTTGACAATTTAACGAGTTAAGATCTAAAAGTGCTTAATAAGTAGGAGTGTAACGATATTCAAGTCTCATAATACGATATCGCCACGGTATGAACCTCACGGTACGATATTTATTGAGATATCGTGGAAAAGTTCATGATACGGTGGGGACGCTCATGATTAAAAGTGTAACAATATCCAGATTTCTTGGTAGGATATTTTTGCGATATACATCTCACGGTACGATATTTATTGCAATATTTTGTGAAGGTTAAACAGCTAAAACTGGTAATATGTGACTTTTTTTCTCTTAAAATGCCTTGACAAGACTTAATCCAATGAACTAAGACTTAAAAATGCTTATAACTTATTTTTTCTTGTACTCTGCACTGAAATGGAGCAAAGGATCATGGTCTATGTAGTTCCCTCTGTCTTTTTTAAGCTATTGCTGCTCCATAACTCTTAATTTAAGCAGAGAGACTTGTAATTCGATATATTGTGACGGACTTTGATGATACGATATCACGATATTGAGGTTATTGTTAAATCCCTATTAATAAGTAACTTCATTGGACTGAAACGGAGCAGTGGATCATGGTTTTTGTAGTTCAGTCTGTTTCTTTTAGCTGTTGCTTCACCAAAACAATAAATTTACAGCGAAGTGACTTGTAATTCAATATATTATGATGACCGATGATATTACTGAGAGACTTTTGATGATATGATAACACGATGTTTCTGTTATTATTACATTCCTACCAAAACCTATCACTGGACTCATTCTCCAGAGCGCCAAGTCAACTTTTGTTCAAATTCATGCAAAAAAAAGCAATAACAGACCCAAAATAAAAGGGTAACTACAGGAAATAACCTCATAGACCGGTGTAAGAATAAGAGACTCACCATTTACTGGAACCTGGCCCGGTCCGGTCCTGGTCTGCGCCGATAGAGTCCGCGTTAGTCCAGATACAGTCCGGCTTAAATCCCTAAATCCACCGCGACACAGGCCGCCCGACCCCTGTGCGTGCTGGGAAACTGTCCGTGGTCTGAAGTGCCTCCAGCGGCAGGACTTAATGTTCAAAAGGATCTGGGAGAGGTCCACGGGGGTCTTGGAGGAGGGAGGGACGAGGGGAGAGCTGAGGTCCGAAGTGTGGTTGTCTGAGGTACTGCGTCTGTGAAGAGGAGAGTCCAGAGGAGAGACCGAGACCGAGTCCGAGTCCAGGTCCACGTCCAGGCCGGGATCCAGGTCTGAGTGCGCCCGGTCCAACAAGATCCTGGAAAAGAAGAATTATTTACAATGGTTAGACGACAGCACAAAGACTCTGACTTGTAGTTTTGAACTAAAATTTGGTCTGGAATAATTTAAAGGATGGAATAATCAATGCATTTTTCTCATGAAGACAATTATATTACTACATTATTTACTCCAACTTTCCTTTGTGTGTAAAAGTCGTCCTAGTAGAATTCATGGCAAAGGAGAAATTCAATGTGTTAACTGGACAAAAGTTTATTTATTTTGGTCGAATACGTTTCACAGCTCATCCAAGCTGCTTCTTCAGTTCAGTAGGACTTTCCTTCACGTGTGGATCTTGTCATAGAAATTAAAATTTAAATGTTAAACAGTTTTCAGCCCCAACAGCAGGACAAATGTGGAAAAATGGACCATTCCCATTTCCTACAATTACCTTAAAGTTAAAGCTAACCTTTGACAAATTCGACAATTACTGGAAAACTTGCAGAATGTTTGTTGCCCCGTTTAGATCCGATTTTAATTGAGCATGACTCGATGAAACCATTGTATTTTTATTCATATATGTGTACGTGTGTATGTATGTGCATAAATATATTTTTTTTCTTGTTTTGTTATTATTAGCTTTAATATTACCAAGCTTTTTTTTGTTCAAGCTTGATAATTTGTATAATATATGTACAGTGACTTTGTTTACTTTTAGAAAAGGAGAAAGGAGACTATAACTGACGTGCTGTGTCAATGTACAATATATTTTGTTCCTTTGTCTCCAATAAATTTTAATGGGAAAAAAAATCTACTTAAAGCTAAAAAGAGTAAATTTTGCATTACATAGAATATTGTTACCTCCTCAAAACATACCGGAGTTGTGTTTGGTTTCATTCACACGTTAGGACTTAAAGTCAAGGATTTCTTTGATCTTAAACAATTTTTAAACGTGCAACAAAAAGTGCACACCACAGACATGAGGAGGATCTGATGAGATTTAAAATCTCAGATCACAAAACTTGCAGAGGGATATGTCTGCGGACCACAGGGTATAAAGTTGTCAGTGCGATAACGTCGGCTTTTTCCTGTTTCTACAGTAAAACCACTCGCTCTGAAACTCGAGTGTTCAAAAGATTAGATTTAGAATTAGATACAAGTTCAAACTGTGTTTTTATTATTAATGAAATGTGGTGCAAAACTTTAGATACATGATTTTTAAAGCAAAAACGATTGGAGGAAGTAGAGTCAGAATCGCTAAACTGCAGCTTAACCTTGATCCGTGCACTGTGTGGATGTAAACAAACACACGTGAGGAACTACTCCGGCCTTTTTACTTTCAAAGAACGCCTCAAACTGGATTAATAGCGTAGTTTTGTGGACTGGGTGTCATTATTTGTGGAGGATAAATTCTGCGGATAACGTGGATGAGACGCTGTAGTTTATATTTATAACTTTACGAGAGATGAGTAATAAAATCTATAGCTATATCCTGAGTTTGTTATGTTGTGCCTCTGTGTCCGTCACAAATTCTTCTGTAGTGTGTGGCGGCCTTTACTCCACATCTCACAAACTTAAAATACCCTGTGCCACCTTCTGATGTTATGAAAGTGTGTGGAGTTTAAGAACACAGTGGAGCACTTCCTGTATTACCCACAGTGTTTTCTGTTTGAGAACTCAGCCTAAACGTGCAGGGTTTGTGCGTTAAACATGTGCGAATGAAAAAAACAAAACAAAACACATATCCAGACATGTTTTTGACGAGGAAACCGCATTATACCAGATCCAGAAAACGGTGTAATTTGGGCCTTTTAACATTCTAACATCTGCTGCGCACCCCCTGCCCCCGAAGTCCAAACTGGTCTTGTTTACTTCCCGTGACAGCTGACGTGAGTATTTTGGAGTGACCCATCAGTATTCAGAGCAGGAGGAGCAGGTCTCTGGCTCTGTGCCCTAAACCAGGCTTTACTCATTCATCTGTGTAATCCCCTACAACGCTTCACACGCCGCGTTTGGCCCCGGACTACCGCAGCGCCCGAATTTCCGAACACACACCTCGAGAAAAGGAGAGTCGTGTTCCTACGCTACGGTATTTTTAAACGCAAAGGAGATGCCAGAGTTATACCTGAGGCCCCGCCAGAACAACAGCAACAACCTGGACTTGGCTCAGCTCCCCGGATCAGATTAAGACCTGGCAGAGTTTAATATCCAACATCTACATTTTGGCATTTGTTTAGCTGCAGCGTAAACATTACACCTGCCAAGTGCTAGTGTACGAAATCTATACCGAATTTGCAATCAGAAATAAGCTGACGTGAAGCCAAAAAGTTCCTGTAGTGTTTAGTGTAACCTCTGTGCTGGCTTTGAACAAAAAAACTACTTTAAAACGTGCATTGTGTAACTTTTCCTGCTGAAAGTAAACAACCTGCTCGTCTCCGTGAAGAGGTTTCTGCTTTATTTAGATTAAAATGCAATGAAGTATCTTTTGTTGTCATCATTATTAGTTTGTACGACCATAAAAGGAACTATGAAAACAAAAAAAAAAAAACAAATTTTTTTTTCATTTTCATTGTGGTTTACTTCATACCATGCATTTCAAACTCAGGCCCAGGGACCAAATTTGGCCCGTAATATAATTATATTTGGCCCACGAGATCAAATTAAATCTGTATTAGAGCTGCCCGCCGGCTACAGATAGAAAATACAAACATTATTTATTTAAAATTTTGTTATTATTTTATATTTTGATTGTTCTGGATTCAATGTTTAATCAAAACTATTATTGAAACATTTATTTTCATAAGAAAAGGTTTAACATTACATATCTTGAAAAAAAAGAAAACATGCAGATGTTGTTGAAATTTTACAATAAATATTTAGTTTGGCCCACGACTTAGCCCCAGTTTTTTTTTTTTTTTTTTTTGGCCCTCTGTGAATTAGAGTTTGACACCCCTGGTCTATACGACCATAAACGCTAAACTTTTGTGCCTTTGTAAACATTATTATTAGTTTGTACGACCATGGTGTGACATTTATTTTGTTAGATGTAAATATTTGCCGTAAATAAGTTCTGTGATCAATATACATAAGAAACCACATCATTTTTGAAAATGTCATGAAAAAAATAAAATATTAATATACGTTTTTTCCTTCTTCACGCTCCTTTAAGAGAAATGTGCTTTTCTGTTGTTTACAATGTTTATGTAGTATGATTATTGTTTCTCTCTTGGCACAAACTTGAAATAAAAACAAAAAATCAATCAATCAATGAAAAGGTATACCATGTAACTTTTTGGTCAGCAGTCTGTCAACTGTTTCTATGGAGATGTCATTGCTCCGTCTAGAATGTTCCACACTATGACAGTGAACAGCTTTATTAAATATCTGGAGGTTTTATAGCTCAAAAATACCTAGAAAAACAGGTGTTCTGACTGTGAGCGGGGTCGCCTCTCCACAGATCTGACCTGTAACTTCTAGTTTGGTTTCCATGAAGATGGAAACGTTTAATACCATACTGCGAAACATTTCAGACAAAATCAATAACATTTAACGAAACCGCCACCAAAAAAGTTACACAATGCACCTTAAAACTGATTCATCTCCAAGTTACAGGTCAGATCTGTGGAAAGGTGACCGAGCTTACAGCGAGAATGAATGTGTTTAAAAGTATTCTTATGTCATACTGTGGAATATTCAGCTCCAAGTAGTCACTATGCAATAGAGGTGTGCAAAAATATCAAAATAATGTATCGTTTAATGTGATGATACAGTATTACCAAGAGTATTTTTTGGTGTATTTTATTAAATTATTTTGTTACAGCTACAGTTTTGTTGTTTGTTTAGTGGAAGGAAACTCGTTTATGAAACACATTTGACATTTTCACTGTTCGGATGATGAAATTTTGTGTGTTTCATATGAACTTTACACAAGAAGTGGTTTAACAAAGACTTTTTGTATCACAGCCATGATTTAGCTTTTATTTTTATTGTATCGAATTGTTTTAAAATATATTGTATCGAATCGAAAGTGCGCTGTATCGAGGTATGTATCGTATCGGCAACTTCTTAACGACACCCAGCCCTACTATTCAAGCCTCTACAAACTTGAACCCCGACTTCAATGTTCAACTTTTGGCCCAAACTTCCATTTATAAAAACCACAGCATATTAAAATGAATGTAATTTGCATATTGGCTGATAAAGCTTTAATTACGGCTGAATCAACAAAAGAACACGGCTATTTACGTTCAGTTTTGGGAATTACCAGAGAAGTGTTTTTTTAAAAAGGCTGATAATGTACTTTTTGAGCTACTGTGAAAGAGCCAAACTAGAAATACTTCTGCATTCTTCTGGGGTAAATCAGTTCTGAATATGCAAATCAGGAAATTACGCATTAAAAATGTGTTTCAGGAATGTAAGTATTTAAAGGTGCATTGTGTAACTTTTCTGGTGGAGGGCCTGTCAAATGCTTTATTAAACATTTCTATCTTCATGTAGACCAAACCAGACCAAAGTTACAGGTCAGATCTGTGTCCGAATGCCTGTTTTTCTAGCTATTTTTGAGCTATGAAACCACCTCTAATTAAAAAAAAAAAAAAGTAAAGTAGAGTTGTTTAAAAAGTTACAAAGTGCACCTTTCATTAATGCCAAAAAAAAAAAAAGAAAAGTAAATGTACCTTCCGCCTCTGCCCACTCGCCGTCTGGCCAAACCCACACATCTCCGCGGTGTGTTCAGGGACGTCAGACAGAATCGGAAACGAGGATCTCCCAGTCCTCCTTCAGCCGGGCTCATCCAGGGCCAGTTCCCGGTCTGCTCCGGGCGAGACTGTAAAACAAGTCAGAGTACAGGTTAGTTTTCATTTTCAAAACCAGTAGAAACCGAGTTAGAACTTTGTGATTTTACTTTGAGGTTTATGTTCGCACTTATCGTCACAAACTTAAAATTGTGGGGGTTTGTTCTTGTTTAGTTCTATATTCAAAAGTTTTTAACGTTAAACACCAGAAGGTCAATTTTCCAAACAATTTAAGCTGGGTCTGCACTCTTAAAAATCAAATCTTAATCTCCTCCCTGCGAAAGTCGGGCTTTTTGGCGATTTTAAATGTTGTTCTTTTCTGTATGATGTAGCTCTATGCTCAAATACAGACACTTTTGCCCGCCCACTGCTCTTATTGGTCTGTTTTATGTTCCGAGTGATTGACAGGTAGAGTTAACCAATCACAGTGTAGTGTCCAAGGAAGCAGCAAATGGTTTTAGTTACATCCTGATCAATGTTATAATGTTGTTTCCTTGTCACAAACATATTATACTCGGAGTTGTGTTTTGTTTCTTTTCATTCACACGTTTAACACACAAATTCTGCATATTTAGGCTGAGTTCTTGTCTCAAACTGAAAACACTGTTCCACCTTGTGATGTCATGCGGTAATCCAGGAAGTGCTCCAGTGTGTTTTTACACTCCACACACCTTCACTACAGTGTTTCCCGCAGAAAATTGGTTAGTCAAGGTGGTGAAAGGAAAAAGTGCACGACGCGACAACTGTACTTTTGCGAGAATTCACGTTGTTTGGAGGGATGTAGTCAAGGCGGGGGTCCATTTTTGTCAAGGCGGTCACCATAACTATAAAGCGCTGCGGGAAACGATGCCCTAGAATCTTTTGGATTATTTCCGTCGTTGAATTAACCATCTCTACTGAACAAAAGGTAAGGCAAGGGTTCCAGCCAAAAAAAAAACAAAACCAAAAGATTCATGTTGTACTGCGTTTGTTTTTTGTCCTGGTCCCAAATTATACTCCCCACAGGTGCATAGTCTGGGGGTTGTTTCTTTTTTTTTTTCTCCTCCTCGTCTCCTCATGTTATGCTCAGGGTTCCCAATCTTTCTCACTGACAAAATTTCAAAACTTTCCCATGACTTTCTCATGACCTAAAGTGAATTTTCTTAAGTAAGTAAGTAAGTAAGTCTTTATTTATATAGCGCTTTCACAGACATTTTCTGTCCCCAAAGACGCTTTACAAGCATTTTCACAGCATTCATTCATACAGCATTATTCATTCACTCTAAACCCTGTGTGGTAAGACTATTGTAGCCACAGCTGCCCTGGGGCTCACTGACAGAGGCGCGGCTGCCATTGCCACTCGGCGCCATCGGTCCCTCCGAAACCACCAGCACTAACACACACCACTTTCATACTAGGCAATGTGGGTGAAGTGTCTTGCCTAAGGACACAATGATTGAATTGATTGTATTTAACTGACCATTATCAACTGTTTATGGAGACCTATGTAGCATGTTTTGGGTTGATGGGAAACCGACACCGGAGGAAACCCATCCAGACACGTGAAACATGCAAACTCCACACAGAAAGGCCTGGGCGACCCGGGGATTTTTTTCTTAACACATTCTTTAAAACCCTAAATGTGTAGAATTTATCAGACTTTTAGGGCTAAATATGAAACGTTAACCCTTTCCACTCACCTGATGGTTTGGGATTATAGTTTTTTAACATTCAAAATCCTGTCAGTGCATTTACTGTCGTCTCTTTTAAACTAAATGCGCATACGTTCAGAAATACTAAAATTCCATGACTTTTCCAGGACTTCCATGACTGTGGGAACCTTGTATACTGTGTTTTTTCTTAAAGCTGCGCCTGAGATGACTGCAATACCCCCATTTTTTTAATCTAGTATTTATCTATGCATCTATCTCCATCTAATATGCAGCTCTTAACTTGAAAACTACAGCTTCATGACATCACAAGGTGGAACAGACCATTTCGAGCTTTGGAAATGTAGACAGACTAAAAAACCAGGATTTCTCAAATGTGTGAATGAAACAAAACACAAATTAATGCACGTTTCTGATGCGGTAACATTAAAAAACATGTTAAATCTCACACAAGAACCAATTTCGTGTAATATCGGGAGCTCTAAAACCCGATTAACCAAACGCGTGATGCTCGATGGATTAGAATCGCAAAAGCCACAGATTAAAACGTGTGTATTTTTAGAAACTGCAAATGCCAACTTTATATAACTCCCCTTCAAACCGGGACCAGAGCGAGCATAAAAGTCCCAGCGTGCGGCTTTATTTCATTGTTAGTGCTCCGGCGGACAGACTGGGAGGGGTTATAAATAGCGTTAGGAGTCAGAGGAGGCCACTCACGGCGTAGTAGTGACATCCTGCTTTCCTCCTGAACGCGAAGCTGCCATCTGGATCCGTCTCCTCCTCTGCATCTGACGAGCCGGAGACGATCTGTGCACAAACAAACAAAAAAAAGGAAAATACATTACTTTTAACGGCCACGCAAAGTTATTTAGGACTTTACAAGCGTTCGGAGTTTAATGTAATTTGAAGTTTTATCGCCGAATAAAAAAAAAAAAAAAAAAAAAAAAAAGGACAGTGGGTTTTGTAGCGTGATTATACAGGGAAGTCGTAAAGATCTAGAGTAAACAAAGGTTATAAAAGAGACAGCTCAGGATCGTTCTTCAACTGTATTCTAGTTTATAGTAATCTGTACGGTTTTAGACCAGATGCCCTTCCAGATGAGACTCTTCCCATTAATAAAAGCCTAAAACTAGCACAATTAATTCATATCGTAAATCTGGAATGGCTTGAAAGTGTAATTTTCTCGTTTCCGTTGCGGCAAAACGACGAACAAAAGGTAAAACGTCTTAAGTTAAACGTTTTCTCTCCTGCTTGTCAGTGATGTCCCACAGTACGGCGTTAAATATATCAAAAAGCAGCTGGCGCTATTTACCAAAGTTTTGGGCAATAAATTGGAAAATAGACAAGTTTAAAGCCGCACTGCGTGACATCCCGGGCAATGCGTCACCATCTCCATAGAAACAGGCAGATGGTGGATCCTCAACCAGAAAAAGTACATAAAACAATAAATTACGGGGTTAAGATGGATAAGGAAACTCGTTTATGTGACACATTTGACATTTTCAGAGTTTTGATGATTAAAAATGTTTGTGCTTCATATGAACTTTGCACGAGAAGTGGTTTAACAAAGACTTTTAGTAACACAGACATGATTTAGTCTTTATTTTTTATTGAACCTTAACAAATCCAAACTGCACTTCATTGAGATATGTATCGTATCGTGGCCTACGTAGAGGTATGTATCGTATCGGCAACATCTTAATGATACTCAGCCCTAATTAATCTCCATAGAAACAAGCAAGTAGCGAATCCTCAACCAGAAAAAGTACACAAAGCAACTTGATCTAGTACAAAAAAGTACAACAAATTATCCACTACTTTCTAACTGGTTAAGATGGTCTCAAATATCAGGTTATCGATATATCGTATTGTTTAATGTGATGATACAGTATCAATATCGTGAGCTGATGTATCTATATATCGCCAAGAGTATATATATTTTTTGGTATCTTTTACTAAATAATTTTGGTACAGCTACAGTTTTGTTGGTTTTTTAGAGGAAGGAAACTCGTTTGTGCGACACATTTGACATTTTCACTGTTTTGATGAGTAAAATGTTTGTGTTTCATATGAACTTGTATCGAGGTATGTAATGTATCAACAACTTCTTAATGACCTAATCTCGATAAAAAAACAAAGAAATGGCTTGGATCCTCAACCAGAAAAAGTGCACAGAGCAACTTGATCTAGTACAAAAAAGCACAACAAATTATCCACTACTTTTAACGAGTTAAGTAGAGGTGTGCAAAAATATCAGGTTATCAACATATCATAGTTTAAATTGATGATAAAGTATCAATATCATGGGCTGTTGTATCGATATATCACCAAGAGTATTTTTTACCAAATTATTTTCCCACAGTTTTGTTGCTCATTTAGTGGAAGGAAACTCGTTTATGTGACACGTTTGACATTTTCACTGTTTTGATGATTAAAATGTTTGCGTTTCAAATTAACTTTGCACAAGTGGTGGTTCAACAAAGACTTTTAGTGTCACAGACATGATTTCGTCTTTATTTTTTATTGAACTGGGTATCATTAAGAAGTTGAAGATACGATACATGCCTTGATACATAGGCCATCGTGCGATACATATTTAGATACAGTGAGTTTTAAATTTGATACTGTTCAATAAAAAATAACAGTTCAATCGTGGTTGTGATACTAAAAGTCTTTGTTAAACCACTTCTTGTGCAAAGTTCATATGAAACACGAACATTTTAATCATCAAAACAGTGAAAATGTCAAATGTGCTTCATAAATGAGTTTCCTTCCACTAAACAAGCAACAAAACTAACGCTGTAACAAAATAATTTAGTAAAATATACCCCCCAAAAAACAAAACAGTTTCAAGATAATCAAGATATCAAGTTGCAATGTACTTTTTCAGGTTGAGGATTCACCATTTGCTTGTTTCTATGGAGATTAGGGCCTGGTATCATTAAGAAGTTGCCGAGACGATACGATACCTCAATACACAGGCCACGATACGATAAATTTAAATTGATTCGATGCGGTTCATTTAACAGTGGCTTAATTGTGGCTGTGATATTAAGTACCACTTCTTGTGTGAAATTCATATAAAAACACAAACATTTTTAATCATCAAAACAGTGAAAATGTGAAATGTGTCACATAAACGAGTTTAATTCCTCAACAAAACTAACGCTGTAACAAGATAATTTCGTGAAATTTACCAAAATATGACACGATATCGATATTTTTGCACACACTTAGTATCAAATCAATCTGAAATGTATCGTATTGAATTTAAAGCTCACTGTATCGAGACATGTATCATATTGTGGCCCATGTATCGTATCGGCAACTTCGTAATAATACCCACCCCTAGTCGGAAGTTTACTCCAGTTACCCAAGTTTTGCTGCCCAAGTTTGTATTGGGAAAATAATACATGGGCGTTATCCCCAATAGTGTCATTTTGAAAGGACACCACAGTCTGTACTGCGGCGCTCCACCTGCTCAATGTCTCATCTGTGAAAATGTCAAATGTAAAAAAGTCCCCCAGCAGCAGACTCAGACACACTTTGTTCAATAAATCCATCCTCTCGCTCTCGGGACTTTCAACGAGTCCAGTTCATTTCACACAAAGTAGATTAAGTGCCTCTTTACGCTCAAGATTCCCACTTTGTAACGCGTTTTACATCTGAATGTTGAATTGCAATTGGAGTCTCGATGGGTGCTCTCGACAACCCCAACGCAGCACCGCAGTCTGGGAGCTGGAGATGGTTTAAGGATTATCGGTGATAGGAAATTTAACCGATATCTGACGCTAACATTTTCTTTCTGTGTCATTTATAGTTTGACTTCTGCCTTTTTTAACAGAATTATGACTAAAATATGAATTTACACAACACACAATTTCACAGATAAATACATTTTGTTATTATTGTTACAAAAGTTTAAAAAGTTGATTTGGAAACTTGACTAGAACATAAATTTGGTCCTTGCAATGGATGTTAAAAGCTCAGTATTGGCAGATTTCTTAACATCTACCAGTGTTTCCCATTAATACAGGAAACTTTGTCAGCTCCCTTTGGTCTAAAAACAACCTGACCAACCTAATGGTGTAACAAAAATTACACTTTGTTGCAAAATTAGACTTTGTTGCTCATTTCGTTGTTATAAACTTGTTATAAAACAGACTATTCTGGTCAAAAATGACTGCTTAAAGTTTAAATATATTCATTCATTCATAGTCATTCATATTTAAACTCCACAAATTGAATCTTAACCAAACACTGCGGCCAAAATAGCAAATACTGAATATCATACTGACTCAAAAAAATAAAAAATAATAACACTGGCTCTTATCCCTATTCTGAGTATAGAAGTACTTTGCAGTATCCATAGTTTTGTAGCATTTGCAGTAGTAGTACTTGTGAGTAACCCCTACTGTGAGTATAACAATACTTTGAAGTATTTGTAGTATTTAGAGTAGCACCTGAGTGTAGTCCTTGTTGTGAGTATAACAGTACTTGGCAGTATTTGTAGTATTTAGAGTAGTACCTGTGAGTATTAACAGTACTTTGCTGTATTTGCAGTAGTAGTACCTGTGAGTAACCCCTGTTGCGAGTATAGCAGTCCTTAGTGGTATTCGTAGTATTTGTAGCATTAGTACATGTGAGTAGGTCTCTGTTGAGAGTATAACAGTACTTTGGGGTATTTGCAGTATCACCTGTGATTTGTCCCTGTTGCAAGTATAACAGTACTTTGCGGTATTTGCAGTATATGCAATAGAAGTACCGGTGAGTAGCCTTTGTTGTCAGTAAAGCAGTACTTGGTGGTATCTGTAGTATTTGCAGTAGTACCTGTGAGTTGTCCCTGTTGTGAGTATAACAGTACTTTGGAGTATTTACAGTATTTGCAGTAGTAGTACCTGTGAGTATAACAGTATTTGTAGTATTTGCAGTAGTAGTACCTGTGAGTATACCAGTATTTTGCTGTATTTGTAGAATTTGCAGTAGTAGTACCTGTGAGTATAACAGTACTTTGCAGTATTTGCAGTAGTAGTACCTGTGAGTATAACAGTACTTTGCAGTATTTGCAGTAGTAGTACCTGTGAGTATAACAGTATTACTTGGCAGTATTTGTAGTATTTGCAGTAGTAGTACCTGTGAGTATAACAGTACTTTGCAGTATTTGCAGTAGTAGTACCTGTGAGTATAACAGTACTTGGCAGTATTTGTAGTATTTGCAGTAGTAGTACCTGTGAGTATAACAGTACTTGGCAGTATTTGTAGTATTTGCAGTAGTAGTACCTGTGAGTATAACAGTACTTTGGCAGTATTTGTAGTATTTGCAGTAGTAGTACCTGTGAGTATAACAGTACTTGGCAGTATTTGTAGTATTTGCAGTAGTAGTACCTGTGAGTATAACAGTATTTGTAGTATTTGCAGTAGTAGTACCTGTGAGTAGTCCCTGTTGTGTACTTGGCAGTATTTGTAGTATTTGCAGTAGTAGTACCTGTGAGTATACCAGTACTTGGCAGTATTTGTAGTATTTGCAGTAGTAGTACCTGTGAGTATACCAGTACTTGGCAGTATTTGTAGTATTTGCAGTAGTAGTACCTGTGAGTAGTATGTATTGTGTAGTATAGTACAGTACTTTGGCAGTATTTGCAGTAGTAGTACCTGTGAGTATAACAGTACTTGGCAGTATTTGTAGTATTTGCAGTAGTAGTACCTGTGAGTAGTCCTCGTCGGAGCTGGGGAAGTCGTACTGGTTGAGGTCTTTGGGGCTGAAGAAGGCGGGGCCGGGGTGATGCGCCGCAGACACGGCGATCTTCTGCTTCTTCTCGTATTTCCTCTTTGTTCGAACTGGCTCCGTTTTCTCGGGCTGAAAGAAAAGAGAAAAAACTTTATTAGTACACGCTCGATTTCCCCACTGAGACACAAATAAAAGTTCTCTCATCTTCAGCGAATGTGTTAATCCAAGAGAAAATGTGTAAAAAAAAAATGTCTTTAAAGTTACGCCAAAAAGTGAAGAAATATTGTTTGTAGCCTTAATTAGATCGTCACAATGAATTATTTCCAAATTTAATTCCAAACCAGTTTTTTGGAGCATTTTTCAGTATTAAAAACAGTATACTAAAGTTTTTCTTCTCTTCAAAAACAACATTCACCTTTATTATTGATGATTTGATTTGCCGACCTTGAAAAATAAACATTTCACTTTTGTAGCTGCTATTGTGGACAACATATACATTTATTTATTTTAAGATAACTTAAGTAAAATTATCTCGCTGCATGGACAGATGATTTCACAACTTTTAAGTCATTTTCTGATAGATTTAAGTGTTTATATCTTAAATTTTGGCCAAGCTTTTTACAATGTGGAGCTGTTTCATGTCATATTTTTCTATAGATTTTATTTATTTATTTTTAATTACAGGTGGTTTTATCGCTCAAAAATACCTAAAATCGGTAATTTTTACTTTTTTGGTCGGTCTTTTGATTTATTTTGTTTCACAATACTAATAATTTGTGTATGTAAATATGTGATATAAATAACTAAAATGTTCTAATTAGTGCTGTCATGCGATTAAAAAAATTTAGAGATTAATTAATTATGATCTGTAATTAATTAATCTAATTAATCTCATTTTAATCTCACCTAAAAATTGCTGAGAAAAGCTTCAGTTTGAGGTATTTTCATTTAAATTCATTATTACATTATTGTGGCAGATCAAAAGACTGATATAGATTTAAAAAAGTGACTTTATAAAGTCATTTATTGTTTAACAAATCTCTGCAAATTGGCTGTTGAGCCCAAGTCTCCATGAATAAGAAACTGTTTGTTGTAAAGCAGCAAAGACGAGGAAATCTGAACATAATAACTTTTGTCGACTTAAAGACAATAAAAAGTCCAGTCTTTCCTTAACCATATTAAAAATATTATTGATAGAGAAATGCTTTATATATGAGATCACTGGTTTTAGTCCTTGTTTTAGTCCTGGTTTAGACCTGCTTTAGTCCTAGTTTAGTCCTGGTGTTAGTTCTGGTTTAGTCCTGGTTTTAGTTCTGGTTTTAGTTCTGGTTTAGTCCTGGTTTAGTCCTGGTTTTAGTTCTGGTTTTAGTCCTGGTTTAGTCCTGGTTTAGTCCTGGTTTTAGTCCTGGTTTAGTCCTGGTTTAGTCCTGGTTTTAGTCCTGGTTTTAGTCCTGGTTTAGTCCTGGTTTAGTCTTGGTGTTAGTTCTGGTTTAGAGGTGCACAGGAGGAAGTGCGGTTTACGCCGCGTACGCGAGAAAACACGATCCACACGCGGCTCACGGGAGCACGTCGGTGTCCGTGCAGTAACTATGGAAGGAAACGTGGTCCGCGCGTTCTCAGGTTAATGACGATGATGAAGGTGTGTGTTTGTTAAATAGTTTGGCCTTATTGTAGGAAAAAAAAACCCCAAAAAAAAAAAAACGCCCATTTTAAAACCCCAAAGTAAATATTATAATTAATCTGATTGTGAATTTGTGACTTGTAGGAAAATTAAAACCTTCCGCTGAACTCCACAAATGAATCGCTCTGCACTCCGGCGCGTTTAAAATCCCGTCTAATGGTGTAATACTCCCTACAGCATTGCTTTACACAGCCAGGCCTTTTGTTTGTGCCATTTGTTTTACCCCAAATAAACGAAACTAAAACTACTCGTCGGCCCACGCAGGCGCCGCCGAGCTGCACAAAGACGGATGTAAAACCGGCAGAAACGTACGGCTCCCCAAATCCCAAATCGTCCGTAAAGGGAGAATAAATTAGCCCCGGCCCGGCGCTGAATGTTGACGTTTTACTCTTTGCGATGCCGAACACTGCTCCCTACAGCTCTGGCTCGGCCCATTGATATGCAGATAGGGGCACGTGCCAGATGTCGCTGTGCGGGGCAGATGGCTGGTCCCTGCATTTTAATCCCCTCCTCCCTCCTCTCCTCCTCCTCCTCTCTTCATCTCTCTCCTCTCCTCTTTTCCCCTCGATGTGAGAGCGAGCGCTTCTCCAGGGATTAGACGAACGATATTCAAGCCCGAATGTCGAAGAGGAGAGAGGAAGAGAAGAGAGGAAGAGAGGGAAAGGTAACGGCTCACGGTGCTACAGGAGAGAGGGATAGAGAGAGAGAGAGAAACAGAGTGAGAGAGAAAAATAGGGAAAGAAAGAAGAGAAAGAAAGAGTAGAGAGAAAAAGAAAAGAGAAGGAAGAGACAGGAGAAAAAAAAACAGAAAAGAAAAAAAAGAAAGTAAAGAAATGTAGAGAAAAAAGAAAAGAAAAGAGAGAAAAAAAAGGAAAAAGTTAAGACAGAAAGAAAAAGAAAGAAAGAGGGGAAGGAGAGAAAATAAGAAAGAAAGAAGAGAAAGAAAGTAGAGAGAAAAAGAGACAGCAGAAAAAAAAGAAAAAAGAAAAAAGAAAGTAAAGAAAGGTAGAGAAAAAGAAAAAAGAGAGAAAAAACAAAAAAAAGGAAAAGTTAAAAGAAAGAAAGAAAAAGAAAGAAAGGAGAAGGAATGAAGAAAAAAGAGAATGAAGAAAATGAGAGAAAAAAGGAAAGAAAGAAAAGGAAGGAAGAGAAAATAAGAAAGAAGAGAAAAAAGAGTGAAAAAAATGAAAGTAGAGAAAGAAAGAATTTAAAGAAAAGAAAGTAGAGAAAGAAGAAGGAGAGACAGGAGAAAAAAGAAAGGAAAAAGTAAAGAAAAAAAAAGAAAAAAAAAAGAAAGAAACAGGGGAAGGAAAGAAGAGAAAAGAGAATGAAGAAAATGAGAAAGAGAAAAAGGAAAGGAGAAAATAAAGAAAGAAGAGAAAGAAAGAAGAGAAAAAAAAAGAGTGAAAAAAAATGAAAGTAGAGAAAGAATGAAAGAGAAAAGAAAGAAGAAGAGAAAGAAAAGAAGAGAAGAGGAGAAAAAAGAAAGAAAAAGAAAGGAAGGAAGAGAAAAAAGAAAAGAAGAGAAAGAAAGAAAAAGAAAGAGAGAGAGAAGAAAGAAAGAAAGAGAAAGAAAGAGAGAGGAAAAAGAGAAAAGAGAAGAGAGAGAGAGAGAGAGAGAAAGGGGGATGATGTGAGAGGCAGGGAGGTGTAATGAAGCAGCGGGGGGCAGTTGTAAACAGGTGTAAACAAAAGAGAGTGAACTCAAGCTGAGGAGAAAACAGAGGGAAAGAAAGAGGGGGAGGAACAGACGGAGAGAGAGAGTTTGGGCGATAAGCCAAAAAAAAAAAAAAAGTATTGGTAATATGAGTATTGGTGTTGTTAGTCTTTACACAGTAATTACTACATCATTATTTATCACAGGTACTTCATCTTTGTCGTAGTAAGGAACTTTTTTGTTATTTTTCTGATAAGTTTTGAGCTGCAGACGGTTGAAAAACTAACTTGTCTTTTATTTATTGCGGCTCATGTTTATTAAAGCAGACCTATTATCGTGAAATCCACTTTTCAGAGCGTTTAACCAACACGGTTTAAAGTTTGCTGTTTCTTATTTACCTTCTCGAAACTATTTGATTAAAGATTGTCCAAACATGCATGAATCACCCCACTTAAGTTTCAAGATGTTTTCCTGTTTTTCACTTCTGTGCTTCATTCTACAGTTTTATTTTCGTAATCTGTGATACAGTGAAGATTCAGCTGTGTCACTAAAGGGTACGTTCAGACTGCAGGGTTTAATGCTTAATTAATTCAGATTTTTTTTGTGAAATCTGATTTTTTGGCGAGGTTGTTCACATTTCCGATTAAATGCGACTTGTGTGGGATCTCCAGTGTGAACTTTAAACTCCCCAAAAGTGTCACGAATGCACACTGGAGGACACAGTGTTTACGAAAGTCGCCTAAACATGGACGCGAGAATTGAGCACCTTGAGATTTTTAAGTTGCTGTCGTACCAGAGTCAGAACACGTACAACTTGAGCTACATTCAGACTGCAGCCTGAAGTGACCCAAATCAGATTTTTTTGGCCCCTATGTGACCTGTATCTGATCTTTTAATGACAGTCTGAACGACACAGATCTGATTTTTTCAAATGTGACCCAGGACACTTGGATATGTGCTCCTGAAACTGATACATATCTGATCTTTTGACATGTGACTTCAGTGTGTGAACGGCCAAAGTGCATTCATCTGACCTACCTACATTATCAACAAGACACAAACGTCACTATGCTGCGCGCTGAAGTAGGCGAAAATTGTTAATGAACTCTGTGTCACTGAAGTGAAGCACATCACCACTCACCACTCTTGGCTCCATCTCCACATCCACACGTTCAACGGACTGTCCCACAAAACGCCACGGCCAAAAACTTCGTCCTTCTCCTTCTCAATCTCCTCCTTAAAACAAGTAAGTTGTTCATGTTCTGGCTCCGGTACGAGAGGAACTTTAAAATCTCCAGGTGCTCGAATGCTCGCGTCCATGTTTGGACAACTTCCGTAAACACAGAGCACGCTCACGCTGTTGTTGACGTCATCGTGTCTCCAGTGCACATGCGGGACACTTTTGGGCCGTTTAATGTTCACACTGGAGATCACATACAAGTCACACTTAACTGTAAATGTGAACGACCTCGCAAAAACATCGGATTTCACAAAAAAATCGGAATTGAGCTTTAAGCCCTGCAGTCTGAACGTAGCCTTATTTGTTTTAAGGAGTAGATTGACAAGGAGAAGGATGAGCTTTTTGGCGTTTTGTGGGGCAGTGGCAGCAACGTCCATAGAAAGAAACGAGTTGGTGCAGAGTCGCAGCCAAGAGCGGTGGGATTGCTTTCTGTTTTGCTGCTTCGCTGACATGGAGTTCAGACACAATTTTCGTCTGACGAGAAGAACGTTTGTGTACGTTTGTGTACATTTGTGACGTGTAGTAGAGGTCTGCGTGGGACAGAATTTTCA